GGCACAGGGGGGTTGGAGCTTCGTGATCCTTGAGGTCCCTTCCAACCCGGGCCATTCTGTGGTTCTGTGATTCACTTATTTGTGCCTTCACAGGTAATAGAACTGCCACTTACAAACCCAGAACTTTTTCAGCGTGTGGGAATTATACCTCCAAAAGGCTGCCTGCTCTATGGCCCCCCTGGTGAGTAGTTGGCTACTGACAGATCTTGCCTCTTGTTCCTGCTCAGTGTGGTGGGGCAAGGCTTAAAGGTGATGCTCAGGCTTGTTGTTACCAGTTAAACACCATCACTCTCTTGTCTGGACAGGTACAGGGAAAACACTTTTGGCCAGAGCTGTTGCTAGCCAGCTTGACTGCAACTTCCTAAAGGTAGTGTAACCTTACTTCACACAGATTCATGTAGGTGTGCTTGATCTGTTTGCTATACTGTCTTTTCACTCGTGTGTTACATCTTCCACAAGGTGGTGTCAAGTTCCATAGTGGACAAGTACATTGGTGAAAGTGCTCGACTGATCAGAGAGATGTTTAATTATGCCAGAGATCATCAGCCATGTATCATTTTCATGGATGAGATCGATGCTATTGGTAAGGCTCGTGGCCTGGAGGGTGGCTGGAGGTTTCTCTGCTGTTAAACTCAGTCATCAAGTTGCTGTCTCTCTTGTGAGCAAATGTGTGCATGCTGTCTTTAGAGAAGAAATGTAACAGGACAAAGATGTCCTTCCACCTGGAGCTATTACAGCTAGCTTAGAACCATTATATTTGCACGTGGCTTAGATTGTTCTGACTGTACCAAGCAGGAGGCATTTAAGCAATTCTTCCCCAGTCTCTTTCTCATTAAGAGGGATATGTAATTGTTTTCTTACATGACGTTATGTGGAGGCAAAAGTAATGATTGGAGTTTGGTGTGCTGCAGGTGGCCGCCGTTTCTCTGAAGGCACTTCAGCTGACAGAGAAATTCAGAGGACTCTGATGGAGGTGAGTGCCCACACCTCAGCTACATTTCCTATAGTCACTGTTAAGTGAGACAGCTGTGAGTTGCTGCACTGTGATCTGGCTTGGCAGAATGTTTTCAGAGTTAATGTTTAATGTCTGAAGCTGAATTGATCCAGGCACAGCTTTTACAGAAGGCAGCTGCACGTCCTGATAACTCAGCTGTGACTCCATTTCAGTTGCTGGAATAGTTCAAGGATGTTTCTTCTCCTTACTGTGGCTTTGCGTTCTCCATCTTTCTTGGTTGTTGGGGGGCCTTCTCTTCCTTCAAGAGGAAAAGGAGGGCTTGTATCTTTTAATCCCAAAGATGCTTGTTTGATAGAATCTTAACACTTTCACAATTCAGTTCTCAGAACTAAGAGGAGTAGTGCTATTTCTTTGTTTCTGTACTCAGTGCTCTGGTAAACCTGGCTGTGTGAAGAGAATTCCTAAAGCTAGTGACAATTGAAGAGTTCTGAAGCTAGCAGAGACTTCACTGGCCCATGCTTGCCAACAGTTTGTGCAGTGCAAAAGAACGTATCTGCCTTACATAAAGAATTAAATCATTGTGATCAAAGAGCAAGTACTTCGAACCTTCACAATGAAATACCTTCATATGTTTATTAGCATTCTAGAGGCTGTCCTCCAAATCTAATTTGAATGTCCTGGATTCAGTGCACTGCTTGAAATGTGTCAGCCAACCGTTGGGTCCTTTGGTACTTGTGCTGCTTTCATGGCCATATTGCTTTAGCCAAGTCTTCCACATTGGAGCTCTGCTTTGTTCCCTATCTTTTCCTCTGGACAAAGCATTGCAGTGTCTCTCTTAAGCTCTTCTTTAGTGCTTACAGAATGCACGGCGAGCTGTGGCCTTCTCTTAGAAGGCTTGTAGAGTTTTTCTGGTTTGTCTGTACCACTTTTAACAGCTCAGTGCAAGTATGCATGCAGGAAGTAAGTTGCAATAGATGGAGTTTTTGGCTTATTGAAATACAAACTTCTGTTTTCTTCTAGCTGTTGAATCAGATGGACGGATTTGATACTCTGCACAGAGTTAAAATGATCATGGCTACTAACAGACCAGACACTCTGGATCCTGCCCTTCTGCGGCCTGGAAGGCTGGATAGGAAGATCCGTGAGTTACAGTGGCTGAAAGGATGTTGGCTGTGTGTGTGTGATGCCCTGCTGCTTTTATTCAAGCTGTAATTCTTTTCAGATATCGATCTGCCAAATGAACAAGCCAGATTAGATATTTTGAAGATTCATGCAGGTCCCATCACTAAACATGGGGAAATAGGTAAGTATTTGTAATTATTGATATCCTGCCTGGATATTCTACCTCAGCTTGTAAAAATGGGAAGAGCACGGCTGTAAATCAATAAGATGATGTGATTCTCATCAGGTAGTTTCCTGTTATGCAAACAAGCAGCATTTCTCTTAGCCAGAAAAATAAAAACAATAATTAACAAAAGAAATCCCACCCTACCGCAGTAATGGGCTGAAAATAAGCAGCTTTAAAAGTCAGAGAAACTTAACTTGGGAGTTTAGAGATGGCGTAATGAAAACCTTATTATTACCTGAAAATGAGTTTGTCTTTGGTCACTGGTGTAGAGGATTCTCTACAGCACAGGGGAGAACTATCATAAATCTGGGGAGCTTCATCTGATGCCTGCATTTCTCTCTGCTGACCAGCCTGTGTTCTCACAGCTGAGTTTCAGAGCCTTCCTCAAGAAAGCCGTAACTGTGATCTGACTTGAAAACAATGTCGGCTGCCTTTTATTTCAGCGGGGCTCTGCAGACCTTGCCTGCTTATTGCCAGCCCCGTGCCGCCCCCTCTCTGCCCCCGCCTCGTTGCTGACACCAGCTATTCATCAGCCAGCCTGCATGAGCTGGGTAGTGGAACTGATCTCGTTCACCATCTGGCTGCATAAACAGCTGCAGCTCAATAGAGGGTGGCTCAGGAGCAGGGATGAGCTGGGGGAGGGTGAGAGTGATGAGGGCTGCCTTTTTAGCCGTGCTGTTGGCATAAATGTGCGTCAGGCTGTAGGCTAAGATACAAAAGATGCTCCCAGGCAAATCATGAGCCTGGTGTGATGTGCTTTGGCCTGTTTCACTGTATGTTTGGGGGCTAAAACTAAAGCAGGTGGGGTCATTGACACCGTTTAGCACAGGGAGGTGTGAAGGAGTTACAGCTAAACTTCTGAATGTCGTGTGGGAGGGCAGTGGTGCTCAGCTGCGACTTCCTGGAACGAAGTCCACAATGATCTCATCAGCAGAATGGGCTGTGTGTGGCATTGGAACCCTGTGATAAAGACCTGATTAAGAAATGACTTTTAGTGTGCAGCACTAAAGGCTCAACAGGCAGTGTTTTGAAAACCTGCTACAGAAACCACAACCGTAGCTGTTGCTCTTGGTAAATGTATGCATAAAGTGTCAGGCTTTGTATCCCAGGGCGCCTAAATATCTTCTGTAGATTCACTTGAATAAGGGGAAAGGGACTGAGAGGATGGCTTGGATTTCAGTTTTCTGGTATTTTTTTATTGTTCACGTGATGATTTCAACACTTACTTGATCCTTGCATTTCATGTTGATGCTCATAGTGTCCAAATCAGTAACTCTGGGATTTCACTTTGTAATATGAACTTTCAGCTCAGATACGTTTATTTGTTAATGGATGGGTTAATACAGCTGATTATTTCAGTTCATGTAACTTACCAGCCTTGTAGGGTGGAATCACAGAATCACAGCATGGCCTGGGTTGCACAGGAGCACAGTGCTCATCCAGTTCCAACCCCCTGCTGTGTGCAGGTCGCCAACCAGCAGCCCAGGCTGC